GAATTTTTAAAATTTTTAGTTCACCTTACAGCTGTAGATGAATAATTCAAATAATGTGGATCAAATTCTTTAAACTTATTAGTTGACATGAAGGTTGATCTCTCCCATTCATGTTTTGCAAATATCCGATTAAAGAATACTTCTCTTGTAGGTGGAAATTTTGCTAGATGTAATTTTAATGAATCGGAATTTGATAATGTAGATATAAGTGGATTGAATTTAAATGGAGCTTAATTATTTAATTGTAAATGGAAGAACTTAAAAATACAAAAATTAAATACTTTAGATGGTCATTCTAGTAGTGTCTTGTCTGTATGTTTCTCTCCTGATGGTACTTTATTAGCATCAGGCAGTTTGGATAACTCAATCCGTTTATGGGATGTTAAAACAGGATAATTAAAATGTAAATTAGAAGGTCATATTGGGAGAGTCTGGTCAGTTTGTTTCTCTCCTAATGGTACTTTATTGTCATCTGGTAGTTGGGATAAATCTATCCGTCTATGGGATGTTGAAACAGGTTTACAAAAAGCAAAAATGGATGGTCATTCTAGTAATGTCCTGTAAGTGTGTTTCTCTCCTGATGGTACTACATTGGCATCTAGTAGTTGTGATAATTCTATCCGTGTATGGGATAATAAGACAGGATAATAAACAGCAAAATTGGATGATCATACTAATTCTGTTCATTCAGTATGTTTCTCTCCAGATGGTACAACATTAGCATCTGGTAGTTGTGACAAATATATTTGTTTATGGGATATAAAAACAGGACAACTAAAATTTAAGTTTTAAGGTCATATTGGTTATATAAATTCAGTATGCTTTTCGCCTGATGGTACTGCATTAGCATCTGGTAGTTGTGATAATTCTATTCGTTTATGGAATATAAAAACAGGGCAACAAATATTTTAACTCAATGGTCATACTAACTTTATTAATTAAGTATGCTTTTCTCCTGATGGCATTACATTAGCATCTTGTAGTGATGATTAATCTATAAGATTGTGGGATGTTAAAATAGGACAACAAAAAATGAAATTAAATGGTCATACTAATTCTGTAAAGTCGTTATGTTTTACTCCAGATGGCAATACAATAGCATCTTGTAGTGATGATAAAACTATAAGGTTATGGAACGCTTAAATAGGACAAATAAAATCTTTAAAAAATAATTATTGTGATAAGGTTATTTCTGTAACCTTTTCTCCTTGTGGTATAAAATTAGCATCTGGGAGTATAGATAATTCTATCCGTCTATGGGATGCTAAAACAGGCAAATAAATATCTTAGCTTAAGGGTCATACTTTTTCGGTCTATTCAGTATGCTTCTCTGCTGATGGTAATATATTAGCATCTGGTAGTGGAGATAAGTCAATTCGGTTATGGGAAGTTAAAACAGGATAATAAATATCTTAGCTAAATGGGCATACTAATTCTGTGTATTCAGTATGCTTCTCTGCTGATGGCAATATATTAGCATCTGGTAGTGGAGATAAGTCAATTCGGTTATGGGAAGTTAAAACAGGATAATAAATATCTTAGCTAAATGGTCATACTAATGATGTAAATTCAGTAAAATTTTCTCCAGATGATAATACATTAGCATCTGGTAGCAGAGATAACTCTATCTGTCTATGGGATGTTAAAACAGGATAATAAAAACAAAAAATGGATGGCCATAGCGATAATGTCTAGTCAGTATGCTTCTCACCTGATGGTACTACATTAGCATCAAGCAGTGAAGACAAATAAATCCTTTTATGGGATGTTTAAACAGGGAAATAAAAATTCAAACTTAATGGTCATTCAAACTCTGTTTTATCAGTTTCCTTCTCTCCTGACGGTACTATATTAGCATCTGGTAGTGGAGATAATTCTATCCGTCTATGGGATGTTAAAATAGGATAATAAAAAGCAAAAATGGATGGCCATAGCGATAATGTCTAATCAGTATGTTTCTCACCTGATGGTACTACATTAGCATCTGGCAGTGTAGATTAAACAATTCGTTTATGGGATTTAAAGACATTAGAAGAAATGTAATCCTTGGATATGTAATACAAAGATGTTTTAAATTAATTTAAAATTCCACTATATTAAAACATTCCTCTTCCAAGTAGTAATTGTAAATTTTAAATAGGCACTACTAATCTTAATACTTTACTAATATCCCATTAAGCAATTTTTTAAGCATAGGGAGCTTTCATTTTTAGGGGAGAATTTGTTGCTTAATCAGAAATTGATTTAAGGTCATTATTTAGGCAAAAAGGTAGTTATATTTTGGAAAACTAATTAGAATTAAACAAAAATTAGAAATGATTATTAATAATTACCTTAATAATTTTAATATTACATTTATTTTATATTTCTTCTTTATCAATTCAACAAATCCTCTTCCTAATTTTTATTTATTCTATATTCCACAAGGCAAAGAATAAATAGTTAATTGTTAGTTTTTTATTTTTAAAATTAACAGTTATTATCTCAAAAAAAAATATGAGTATACATAACTTTAAGATTGAAAATTACTATCCTAATTTATTACTCCACTATATAAATGTTTATAAATAAAAAGGTACCATCATTAAGAATTTTTAATTAATTTCAAATGTGTATAATTAATATATTTTTTTATTATTATTCTAGCTTCTTAACTGAGGCAATGATAAAATTTCAATTTAAGGTTATTTAAAAAGATTTAAGCATTATCATCAAATTCAAATAGGAGGGCATTCAAAAATATACTGATCCCATAGAATTGGGTGGAGAAATGAAAGAGAAAACCCTTACAGACTAAATCATCTTTGACATCTATCTTTCTTGAAACTTATTGTAAAATTATCTCTAATGAAAAAAATCAATAAATAATATATAATAAAATTATCTATTGTAAAATTTAAATAAAAGTTTTGAATATAGTTTACTTAATTACTCACAATAAATTTCAAATATTTTGTCGAGATTATTATGATGTTTATTAAGATATACTTATTTATTTTAGATAATTTAGTTTATTTCTTGTTAAAATAATCATCAATTGATATTAGAAAATTAAAAAATAATTAATTGGTTTTAATATCACCACTAAAATTAGTATCATTCGCTACATTGAAAAAATTTTTAAATTTTCAATGGATTTATTAATTCCCTTAAGAGGAAACTACAACTAGACAAGGACTACTTACACGCTTAGCTACTCTCTTATTTATCTCTTTTGCTAATTACTACAAAAAGAACTTAATTTATGGAAGTTAAGACTGATGTTTAAAAGTAACTACATTAGACAATTATTAAGATTGAATTAATATTGTTTTTCTGATTAATTGCGAGAAATCTTACTAAAGTTCAATTATTTAAGATATTTAATTCTTGGATGTAATTAATTTTAATGAATATTTTAATATTCATAATTGCAAAGCTTTTTAATGAATTAAATGTAAAAATTAAATTTGATTTAAAAGCTATTTACACAACTTATGACCTATAATAGACAGTTTAGTTTTTAGTTTTCCAAATTGAGATGAAAGATTGTCTAAGTTAAGATTTGATATTGTTCAAATGTTTACAAATTAAAAAAATCTAATCTAGAAAATTATCAAACTTTTCTGATTGACGAAGGATACATGTTTTTAGATACACAAATATAAATCACTAATGGACATAATTTGATTTAAAAATTTGTAATCATTAAAAATAGATTATTGTTAAAATCTAAAAATTAATTGATAACTTATTTCCCAACATTACTAAGATACTAATGTAAATAATTAAATTACTTCTAATTCAGCCAAAAAATATTCAAAAAAATTACACATAAAACATATGAAGTACCATTTCATTTTTTTCTTAAGTTTTAAGAATTTGAAAAACTAATATTAATGTAAATATAAAGAAAATCCCTATAAATAGTTAAGAAATTAATTTAATAAATTACTTTCATTACATAATTTATTACATAAGAATGTAGAACCCTAAACATTAATATTAATCATGCATTAAAATTTTTTAATTTTTTCTATAACTTCAATCTTTTGTATCTATCATTATAATATACAAAATCGATTGGAATGAAAATGATTTTTGATCCTTTAAACAAATTTATCAAATTCCTTACTTTGGAGAATCATTTAATAAAAGAAAATTAAGTTTTATATTATTGTGATATGTAATAATGATAATTTATTTTGGAAGTTGATAATAGAAAAAAATTATAATTAATTTTTAAAATATGACTCTATCGATTACACCTTAAAAGTGCAAAGCACTTCTAGTAGGCCTCAAGATATTTGCCAAAATATTTTTCGTCTGAGAAATTGAAGGGAAAGCAATTAAGAGAAAATGGCTTGCTTTGGATTGCAGCCAATGTAGAGAGTAATTATATATATTCAATATAATTCAGTGATAAAAGATGCTCTAATATAGAGATTTTTTTAATCAGATAAGAAGAATCATTACTCAAATAATCACCAATTTAATTAATAGGCTTGGGAAATATAAATGAATAAGTGATTAAATCTAGAATTACTTTAGACACATCAACCCTAATAAGAAGAAGACTATGCTAAATTCTAAGATGCATATATCGATAACTTAACTTAAAAAAAAGCCCAATTATTTCAAAATTCCTTGTCCATCTACTGTGATAATAAATATTAAGGCAAAGACATGGAAAATTTGAGTTGTGAAAAAAAGATAACAAAACTATTATTAAGGTGTATTTATAGTTTTATGACATTAGATAGCAGCAATTATGTTAGATATGAATATCTTTTAATTTAGAATTATCAAATTTTTTTAATCAAAAAAATAATTTATCAATCTATTTATATATAAAATTATAGTAAATAAATCAAAGGATGAAGTTTGTGTCTGCTTATCATCCAACATCACAAAATTAATTGACTTAATTGATTGCTATAAGTAAAATGCTCCAATGGATTGAATATAATCTTAAGTATGCTGCTAAGTTATTTATTTAATCCAATAAATAACGAGTTTTTAATGTAATCATCCACCTTCATATATTATAGAAAGTATCATACATTGAGGAATCATTAATTTATCATACCTAATATTTACCTAATCTTATAAAGGCCGTAGCTCAAGCTTATGAATTAGGTTTGTAGCACCCTGAAGAATATTTTGAGACTCCAGGTACTTGGTTGACATTTGATTTTGACAATCATCCAGGAATGGTAAACATTTTATTTATATTTCTTAGGAAATTGGTATTATGACTTATACACATGGTTTGACAATTGACTTAACCTTATAATAATATAAAGAATATATTTCTGAAGCAAAATTAGATGAGAATGAAGATTTTAAACAAATTTTAGAATTATATTAATAAGCTTTAGAATATAGTAAAAGCTTAAGGGATTTAAGTGATAAATTTAGAGTTAAGAAAGAGATATCACTTGAAGAATTCTATTAATAAATGCCTATCTTTAATATCAAAAAAATAGAGGATTAAATTAATCAAATTCTTGATCACATTCTGGCAAAGAATGATGATTCTAAAGACTATTTTATAGCATTAAAGTTGAAAAAACTTTATTCAATTTTCAGATTAACAGGAGTATTAGGACAAATTAGATTAGCTGGTGAAGATTTAACAGATGTATTAATTCTTTTTATATTTAAGATTAATAAAATCAAACCGATGATTAAANTTTTATATTATTGTGATATGTAATAATGATAATTTATTTTGGAAGTTGATAATAGAAAAAAATTATAATTAATTTTTAAAATATGACTCTATCGATTACACCTTAAAAGTGCAAAGCACTTCTAGTAGGCCTCAAGATATTTGCCAAAATATTTTTCGTCTGAGAAATTGAAGGGAAAGCAATTAAGAGAAAATGGCTTGCTTTGGATTGCAGCCAATGTAGAGAGTAATTATATATATTCAATATAATTCAGTGATAAAAGATGCTCTAATATAGAGATTTTTTTAATCAGATAAGAAGAATCATTACTCAAATAATCACCAATTTAATTAATAGGCTTGGGAAATATAAATGAATAAGTGATTAAATCTAGAATTACTTTAGACACATCAACCCTAATAAGAAGAAGACTATGCTAAATTCTAAGATGCATATATCGATAACTTAACTTAAAAAAAAGCCCAATTATTTCAAAATTCCTTGTCCATCTACTGTGATAATAAATATTAAGGCAAAGACATGGAAAATTTGAGTTGTGAAAAAAAGATAACAAAACTATTATTAAGGTGTATTTATAGTTTTATGACATTAGATAGCAGCAATTATGTTAGATATGAATATCTTTTAATTTAGAATTATCAAATTTTTTTAATCAAAAAAATAATTTATCAATCTATTTATATATAAAATTATAGTAAATAAATCAAAGGATGAAGTTTGTGTCTGCTTATCATCCAACATCACAAAATTAATTGACTTAATTGATTGCTATAAGTAAAATGCTCCAATGGATTGAATATAATCTTAAGTATGCTGCTAAGTTATTTATTCAATCAAACAAATAAAGAGTATTAAAATTTTAATCTTATTATATAATAGAAGGTGTCTTATGTAAAGGAATTTAATCTATCATTCCAATATTTATTCAATCTTATCAAGGCTGTAGCTTAGGCTAATGAAATTTGGTACAAATTAAATTGGATGGTAAGGATTTAACAAATGTATTAATTCTTATGTATCATTAAGGCTAACTAAATCAAATCGATGATTAAAAATATATTCAAAAGAAATATCCCTTTTAATTGCCAATGGACAAGCACCAGTTATGGTTATTATTGCTAATTTCCAAACTTAATCATAGTATGATTTAGTGAATGATCTAATAAATAATTATCTACAAGTTTACAAGTGAAGATGCTGTCTTTAACTTTTTGTTAAATAGATTATCTAATATTAATTATGGTGATGATTTTGAGCCCTATTATGAAAACATGGATTTTTTGTTTGAATTAGGGAAATTAATTATTAAAACTAGATAATATAATTGGAGCTCTCTAAAGAGCCATTCAAAAGACTAAGTGTGTAATAATTTGTATCTAAAAATTAAGTTAACAAAAATATAGTTGAGCCTTTCAATTTTGCAGTAAGTCATGAGATAGCTAAGCCTTTTGAAAGCAGAATGAATCAATAAGCTATTGTTCAAGCTTATTGTAATAGTGATAGATGCTATTTCACTCATCCAGAATTAGCATATTTTGATTGAGTTCCAGAAGAATTAATCAATAAAATAGCAACTCATTGCTATAAATATCATCCTCTTATGAAATAAATTTTTTATATGTATGTTTATGTTTTGATGACCAGAAGATGTGACTTATATTTTATAAAATAAGAAATTTGATAAGATTCAACTAATCCTTATTTTCAAGGTAGGTAAAAGAATAGAGCAGCTTAAATCAAAATTTTAGATTACTTAGGTTTTGGTGATAATAGTACTCCAATGATTGATATTTGGAAATAACATTTAGGGTGTTCACTATAATCAATGAATATGGAATTCAATTAGAATATTTAGAACATTAATTATATTAAAATTATATTAGGAAAAGAAAATGCTCAAAAATGGAATTTTTAAAACTGATATGATTGCAAGCTAACGAAAATTAAGAATTTTATAATCTGAATTAGCATACATTGCACCTTATGCTTAAAGGGTTGAATTATTGATCTTATTTAATTAAAAATATTAATTTATCTATACATTTCTAATATATTTCTTTATTTTGAATTAAACTTTGATATTGATTTAATATTTTTTATTTAAATTATTTATGATTGCCTGAATCGAAGAACTTGAAATTAGAAATAATGCACTTCAAAGACAATAAAACTTTATATAAAGAATTGCAAATACTATAAAAAGCTCATTTACTACATAAATTTAGTGTTTTTTGTTGTTTATTCTTATGAAAGGCAATTTTTAGAGAAATGGTAAGAGTTGTAGGAGCCTGATGAATCGTCTAACACATATATCAATCACTAACAGCAAGCCGATCAACAGAATGAAGCCAGAGGCATAAAAATTGAGGTATAACTTCCTAGATTATTTTCAATTCCTTGAATATTTGGGTTTAATTTGAAGTTCATTATGAAAATGAAATGAAAATCAAGGTATTTTTGATACTATATATAATTAGACAATCATAATATAAACATTTTATATTGTTATTTAATACTTTTGTAATGAATTTGATAATACATATTTATATTATTATAATATTATTGAGATCACTTTGTTAAATTATTTATACTTATTAGAATTAACATCTACAATTCGAAAATAAGAATAAAATTACTTTAGATTTCAGAATTTTTGTTTTTTTTCAGGCATATCTAATTAATCAAACAATTTTTATATTAATCATTATAATATTATGATTAATAAATTTATAAGCATGAAAACTTAATGAATATATATGAAGTTCTTAATCTGATTATCTGTTATTTTTAAATTACAACTATTTTTTAGAGAATTAATGTTATACTTTATAATTATATTTTACTCATCATATTAAAATTTCAATCCTGAGATTGGAGGTAATTTGATGATATACTATTATTGTTTCTGCTCTTAAATTTAATATTCTTTTA